CCAATAGCCTCAATTCTGAAGAGTAAGGTACAGGGAATCCCAGCATTTTCCAACTTTTTGGCGTTGACTGTAAGGCTTTTTGGGCTTCAAGGGCTCAGAGCTATGGAGCTAAACCCTGGCCTTTAGTCGTTGTGTGCCGACGCTGGCGGGCACAACAAAGGTGCGCCTTCACAACTTAAAAAAACGACCCTAAGCCCTAAGGTTAAGCTGTGAGGCCTCTGGGGCTTCGAGGCTTTCGGGATTTGGGTCAAGGGCTTCCGGGCTTTTGGGTTGATGGGATTTAGGAACTTGTGCCAGGCTGAGACTTGCCGGAATTTGTTGAGGGTCTAGGGTTTAGGTTCAGGGTTTAGGGTTTAGGGTTTAGGGTTTAGGTTCAGGGTCTAGGGTTTAGGGTTTAGCCGTTTAGGGATTTGCGGGCTTGAGCCTGTCGCCCAGGAGCACTGCCGTGGGCGACGCTGTGACCGCTGCTTTACGACAGGCGTTTCCTAAACCATGTGCCCTACTTAGAGGATCAAGGGACTTAGTAAGTAGGGGAAAAAGCACGGTAACATGCGGTAACTATTGTTACATCTACGTCTAATCCTGTTTAAGGTACAAACAACCCCTTACCCTAAACCCTAAACCCTAAATCCTAAACCCTAAACCCCTTATAGATTGGCGGCTTTTGCAGGCAAGGAAGCCTTCCGTCCTAACCCGAAATCCTTCGCTCTCAGCCAGGGGTCCAATATGCCCTTGTGCGGGTCAAGGGTTTAGGGTTTAGGGTTTCTGTGACGGATGTTGGGTTCAGCAACCCTGAAAAACTTAAATACTGACCTAAACCCCAAACCGGAGGCTTTGACGCATTGGTTTTGGGGGAGGAGCGCGAAAATTGTCGCACCCGGAAACTCGCAAGTGCTCCTCCGCGAAATTCCGGCATCCCGAGCCGCAGTCCGGACTCATGGAGCCGCACGTGTCCTTGAAGATACATTTTTAGATGGCACGCCCCTTGAACCCACTACTACTACTACTACTACTACTACTACTACTACTACTCCTCCTACTCCTCCTACTCCTACTCCTCCTACTCCTACTCCTTGGTGCTGCTGCACTACAGCTGGTATTACCGAACCCTGAACCTCTAAATCATGGAAGCTTCAAGGCTCCTAACACTGAGCCCGAAAGTATCTAAAGAACTGCCGGTTTAAGATTTTCGAGTTTCGGGGTCAGAGGTTAAGGGTTTAGGATTTAAGATTTGGGGTTTAGGTTTTTAGATTTAAGATTTCGGGTGTAGAAGCCTTAAACTCGAAGAAGCCTCATGTGAGTGGGTCTCTACTATCTACAGGGTGGCAAACCAGGAAAGGTACTGCATTTCCTCAACCCTAAGCCCCTAAACCCCCAAACCCTAAACCCTAAACCCTAAACCCCGGAGCCCTAAACCCCTAAACCCCTAAACCCTGAGCCCTAACCCCCCTGCATTTCGGGGTCTAAGTAGATTCTGATGGGCTTTCCCAAAGTTCCACCCTCTCAGACCTCTCCGGATCACAGGCCCAAAGCCCAAGCACCTCAAACAAATACAGCAACAATCAGGGTTTAGGGTTTAGGGTCTAGGGTTTAGGAAGCCGAAGCCCCAACGGCACCAGTAGCCATAGATGGCGACATGAACCATCTTGAAGACTCAAAAACGCTGAAGGCAAAACCCGCTGAATCCCGAAGCCGCAGACTCCATACAACCGCAAAGCCCAAGCCACCAAGGCCCGAGAGCCTGCCCCTACTTTGCTGGCAAGAAATGCAATGGTACCCTAAACCCTAAACCCT